TGTGTGTGTGTGTGTGTGTGTGTGTGTGTGTGTGTGTGTGTGTGTGTGTGTGTGTTATTGTTGTTGTTGCTGCTGCTGTTGTTGTTGGTAACGACGGCAACCAGGAAAAGCTGGAGATCAAGGAGATCTTCTCGCTGTGTGACTTGGATGGAAGCGGCTCCATCGACTGGCACGAGCTCCGCGGTGGGCTCAGAGGTGCGTGTGTGTGTGTGCTCTCGTGCATGTGTGTGGATAATTTGTGTATGAATGAATGTCTGCGTGTGCGTGCGTGCGTGCGTGCGTGTGCGTGCGTGTGCGTGTGTGTGCGTGTGTGTGCGTGTGTGTGCGCGTGTGTGTGTGTGTGTGTGCTCGTGCATGTGTGTGGATAATTTGTGTATGAATGTGTGCGTGTGTGTGAATGTGTACCTGTTCATGATGCCTGTCCCCCAGCCATCACCCACTTCTTTCGCGCGTACGTGCTTGCTCGCCAGGGCTTGGATTCCCCGTCACCAAACGCGAGGCGCAAGAGATGATCACGCAAGCAGACTTGAATGGAGACGGGTATCGCAACGCAAACACAGCAAATGCAACTGTTGCATTGCGCTGCATTGCATTACATGGCATTGGTCACCGCGGTTGCTGCGTGCGATTGCTTCAATCGTTGGGCAAGTTTCAGCTTATTCATGAAGTGCATCTTTGTTCTGTGGTTCTTCATAGGCTCGTGGACTTGGACGAGTTCATCAGTATCGTCGAGCACCTGTCACGTTCAGAGGTCGACATTCGCCGAGAAATTATGCAGGTGAGTGAGTGAGTGAGTGAGTGAGGTGTGTGCGAACGTATGTATGTGTGAGTGAGTGAGTGAGTGAGTGAGGTGTGTGCGAACGTATGTATGTGTGTGTGTGTGTGTTAGTGCGTGTGTGAGTGTGTGTGCATGTATGTATGTCTGTGAGTGAGTGGGTGCGTGCGTGAGCGTGAGAGAGAGTGTGTATGTGTGTGTGTTAGTGCGAGTATGCATATGAGCGAGTGATTTTGTTTGTGTGTGTGTGCGCGCGCATTTCTTTGATTGCGCTTGATTGAACGCTTTTCGCTTGACTGAACGTGTACAAGTCCGCGCTTGTATGTTATGCTCTGCAGCAACCTTGACCCTGTCGTTCCTGCCGTGTCACCCACCACACCCTCACACGCCACGATTTTGCTTCTTACCAAACACACAACGAACAGGGCTTCAAACACTTTGATCGGGATGGAAAGGGCTACATCACCATGGATGACTTGGTTAAGCTGTGCAAAGCGGTAAACACCCACAAATCCCTGCATCATGCCTACAAGCACTACCTTTACTAACACCCACACACTTCTCCCCCAATGCAATATGAAGATGATGTGTCATGCTGTCACACTCCACCACCGCCACCGCCACCACCACCCTGACCCACACTGCACCACCGCACCACGTCAGGTGGACGAGTACATTCCACGCGAAGAGCTGCGAGAGATGTTTGTGCTGGCGGACTTGGATGGGAAGGGCAAGGTCACCAAGGATGAGTTTATCAAGATCATGCTCAAGACAAACCTCTTCCGATAATGTGGTGTGTGTGTGTGTGTGTGTGTGTGTGTGTGTGTGTGTGTGTGTGTGTGTGTGTGTGTGTGTGTGTGTGTGTGTGTGTGTGTTCGTTCATTTGTGTTCGTGTGTGTGTGTGTGTGTGTTCGTTCGTTCATTTGTGTTCGTGCGTGTGTGTTCGTTCACTTGTGTGTTCTGACAACCCCACAATGCCCTTCTCTTCTCTTCATCCGGCTTTGCCTTCTTCTTCATCTTCTCCCCCCCCCTCTTCTCTTGCTTGACTTTCGAGCATCATGCCAGCACCTCCTTGTTGGCGCTGTAAGCGAAAAATCATAGCAGTATCATAGGCAGTACACCCCCCCCCCTCTCTCTTCTCGTGCGCGTCAGCATTACCACTCTTTTGCCAGTGGCCTGGTCTGCTCTTGAAATGGCGGTGTATTTGACTCGTGCGTGTGCATTGACATGGCCTGCCTTCTTGGGCGGCAGGCAAACAGGCAGGCAAGCAATACCCACACCACACCACAAAACGTGCCCAGATACACACCACACACCACAACACACGTCAACACACGTGTCAATGCTCAGTCCTGCGTGGAATCCATGGCGTTGTCGTCATTGTCATTGTCGTCGTTGCTATCGTTGCCATCGTCGTCCCCTGCGTCTTCGCCTTGCGTATCAACACGTGCACCAGAGGAAGATGAGTTGGTGGTGGCGCTGCCGCCCTCCTGCTCGATGATGGCACGACACATGCCAAGCACACCACCCCCGCGGGCAGCAGCGACCCCCGCGTCAACCCCAAACTGAGACATGACCGTGTCAAGCTCACCGGATTGCAGCGCAGACGTGAACGTTTGCAGGCTCTGATGTCGATGTTGCACGTGTGAACAAAACGCAGAAGCGGGTGGGTGGGGGCGTTCGTGAGGGATGGACAGGCAATAAATATGTAGACTGGCAAGGAGGGAGGCAAAAGCAGCTCAATCATGCTCAACACGCACACACACACACACACACACACACACACACACACACACGCACATGCACACATCTGCACACACACACACACTCTCTCTCACATGCAGTCTCTGCCTCTGACGCATGCATGCACAATATCACGCACAGACCTGGATGTACTGGGGGCTGCGGATGTTGTTGAGAATGTCTTCGCGCGTGGCCGTCTCTGCATTCGGGAGGAACGGCAGCAGGCGCGCAACAACCTCTGCAGCCGCAACGTGTGAAGTCAAGGGTTGGGAGGGGAGAGGAGGGGAGGACGTGGTGTGAACACTGACAGAAAATGCGCACAAGTTCACCCACACACACTCACACACTCACTCACACCCACACACACACGCAGCCACGAGGGGTCGTGAGGGTGGTGCTGCTGCTGAACGGACCGTCGTCGGCGAGAAGAATCTCGACGTTCTCTGGCGCGAGAATGTCCGTCAGGGACGCGCCCTCGCCCATGCCCTGCTGCTCCACTGCACACAAACACACACACACACACACACACACACACACACACACACACGCATGTACGACACAGCGTGTCAAAGTGAACCATGCAATGGTGTCAACAAGCACCGACAGCACACACAGCACACACAGCACACACACACACACACACACACACACACACACACCCAGTGAAACGTACTTTCGGCAGCAAGGCCTCGAATGAGACCCTCCGTTGCCAAGTCCCCATGCTGCTGCTGGCCCTCGCTCTGGCTGCCCTCTCCACCCTGCTGCTGCTGCTGCGTGGTGTCTGCTGGTGGTGTCTCCGGCTCTGCTGCGCGCGTGGTGGGCGGTGCCGGGGAGCTGGTGCTTCCTTGCTGCTGCTGCTGCTGCTGCGTGCGCTGCTGCTGGGAGGACGACTGACGGGCCTGGGGCGGCGCCTGCAGCCCCATCATCTGCTGCAGGAGCTCGGGCGGGATGTTCATGCCGCCGTTGTTTCCGCCCATGCCGGGCAGGCCGCCAGAGAGCAGCTGCAATGAAATAGTAGGGGGACAGCAAGCAGCATAGCACCAGAGTAGGGAGTAGGGACAAGGGACAAGGGAAACCAGGGGAGATGTTCGTGGTGAGGGAGGGAGAATTTATGGCATGCGGACTGTCATGTTTTGGGCATTGCAAGCTGATGGAGTCACAGCACGTGCAGTTGAGGCTGTGTCAATACATATATGCACAAGGGAGTCACAATGTCATGAAACACGAGGAAAGCAGCCAGCACAAAAGACACAACCAAGCATAGCAAACAGAGAAACCGAAACAGAGCAACCAACCCAAAGCTCTCATCAACACATGCACACGCACATACCTGCATCATGGCGTTGGCCTGGCTGTTGCCACCATTTCCACCGCTGTTGTCGGCTGCACAGGCACGTGGAGTTGCGAGTGTTGTCACAGTCGGTTATTTCACGAATGCCACGAAATGCGGATACAAGAGAACGCAGCAACGCAGTAAGTCAGCAGGGGGAGGGGGCGGCACGTCGATCCATACGTTCACGCTGACACGACGCACCAAAGTCTTCGAGGCTGCCGGTGACAAGGTTTTCGTCGCTCATGATGGTGTTGAGACGCTCTGCGCGGTCCTTATCAAGGTCTGCGTTGGGCTCCTGCATCCAAAAGAAGTGGCGCTCATCAGACATCTTCAAGTAGTACACGCGAGAGCCCTCTGGTGCAGACTTGCACTTGTAGAATTTCTGGTTGCCTGGGAGCACAATGATCTCCTGTCAGTTATGTGCATGGGTGTGCGTGAGGTGTGAGAATGCGCGGGAGTGCGTGTGTGTTGTTGTTGTGGTGTGTGTGTGTGTTGTGGTGAATGTGTGTCTGAGTGTTGGCATGTGATTTGATTGATGGCACTAGAGAGGAGGGATGTCAACAAACACGAGAAAGCCAACAACAACAAGGCGCAACCCGGATGCGAGCAACTCAGCAAGAAACCCGGATGCAAGCAAGCAAATAAACAAGCAAACAAGCACACACACACACACACACACACACACACACACACACACACACACACACACACACACACACACACACACACACACACACACACGCACGTCTTCGACGACACCCGTTGTGCGGTTCTTCCAGCAGAGGACGGGGAGGTTGGTGTCGTCCTTGGCCAGGTACAGGACGCCCTTGGCCTCCAGCGGCGTGACGCGGTTGCCCTCAATCTTCATGCGGCCCGCACGGAAGGCGATGGGCGAGTTGGCTGGTGCGCCAGGGGCAGACCACTTGCGCTGGCCTTGCTGCCCTTGTCCGGCACCCTGGGCTGGCTCAGGTCGAAACAGAGACATGGTGAGCGGCTTTGCTTGCTTGCTTGGTGCAGACTGTGATGATGGCTTGTGTCAGCTGAAAGATGGACGGAGAAGTGTGCTTGTTGTATTTTGTTGTTGTCGATGGAAAAAAGTGCGGTTGGCTGCAGCAACGGCACCAATGTCCTATTTAGAGGACACTGGCCTAGCCATTAATGTGAAGGAAAGCAAAAGAGGACAAGCAGCAGCGACGACAAGCGAAGATGAGGAGCATGACGCGGAGGCGGGGAAGGGGCGCAATCGCCCTGGCTACGCTGCTGATGACGATGGTGTTGGGGTCCCGTTGCCACCATGTCACTGCGTCCAACGTCACTGACACCAACGTAAGCGTCCTCAAGAGTGGCGGTGGGGGAGGGGGAGGGCAAGGCAATGGAGCTGTGTGTGTGTGTGCGTATGTGTGTACGTGAGTGTGTACGTGAGCGTGTGCGTGTGATATGACCGTGCACTACGCGTGTATTGCATTGGTGTGGCTCGCGTCGCTCGCGTCGCTCGTGTCGCAGGGCATTCACCCATTGATCACCGACGTTGAATGGCTGCTGTACTTTTGGTTTGGGTGCAGGGTGACGAGCTTCAAGACAAGCGCCCAGGCCATTTGCACTCGTGGGTGGTCGAGATTGACGCGATCGCCGGGAACACGACCCAGATTGTGCAGGCGATTGCCCGCCATCACAGTCTGGAGGTGTTGGATGAGCTGCCATTCCGACCCAATGCCTTCCACGTGGTACAGCACGAGTGTGGAGTGACGGTTGCTGGTGCTGCAGGCCGTGAGCATCATGCGCCATCGCGCTGTCGGCTGCGTCGCTCTCAAGACTGGGAACCCGTGGGCCAACGCACGCAGCTGCTCCTGGCCGAACCCCACGTCACCAACGTCATGCATCAGGTCAGGTTGGGTTTTGCGGGGCTTCAGCGCAAGAACTGCTCACCCTCGACGCGCTTGTCGCTGACTGTGATCGTGGCGCCCCGTGCTTTTGCGTCCGCATGGGTTTTGATCTGACGGAACATACTATCGCATTGTTGCAGCCGGAACACGTGCGTGTACGAAGGACAGGCTCTGACCCGCTGTGGTCCCAGCAGTGGTATTTGAAGAACGACGCCTTTCCATCCTTGCAGCAGAGCCCTGTCTGGGATGAGGACATTACCGGCAGGTGTGTGTGTGTGTGTGTGTGTGTCTGCGTGTGTGTATACGTGGATGGATGTGTGTGGTATCTGCATGTGTGTATGTGTGTGTGTGTGTACGTGTGTTTGTTCGTGCGCTTGCATCTGTTTCACAGTCGTGTGTGTGTGTGTGTGAGTGAGTGTGTGTGTGTGTGTGTGTGGGTACGCATGTACTTGTGTGACTTGTGCCTGTGCCTTGTATGCGGTAGCGCTGCCTCATCCTGCAGTGTTGTGCACAATTGCTTGCGCTTTCCCATACGTGGTGGCACCAGCTCGGTTGTCGTCACCATCGTGGACGATGGCATTGACTACACCCACCCAGATCTCGAGGACAACTTCTACCCGCAGGCGTCGTTCGACTTCAACGGTGTGTGTTGCCATGTGTGTGTATGTGTGTGTGCGTGCGTGTGTGTGTGTGTGTATTTGAAGCAGACGTCGTTCGCAGGCCCGTACTGCAGTTGAGCTCTTGTTTAATCTGGGGTGTTCATCTCAGCACACACACACACACACACACACACACACACACACACACACACACACACACACACACACACACACACACACACACACACACACACACGCACACGCTCACTCACGCTCACTCACGCACACACACACTCACTCACTCACTCGCTCACACATACACACACACACACACTTTTACTCACTCGCTCACTCACGCACACGCGCGCTCTCTCTCTCTCTTTCTCACCATCCCACCCCCCCCCCCTATCCACGTTGAACTTGGCGTCAGACAACGACCCTGATCCCATGCCACGCGAAACGAGCACAAACATCAACAAGCACGGCACGCGCTGTGGCGGTGTTGTTGCCAGCGCACGCTTCAACGGCGTCTGTGGTGTCGGCATCGCATACACATCAAAGTTCGTTGCTCATGCGTGCATGTGTGGGACTGTTTGTGCGTTGTCTCTGTCTGTGTGTATCTCGCTGTGTACACGTGTGGAGGTGAACCACAACCTCTTCTTAACCACACACACACACACACACACACACACACACACACACACACACACACACACGCACGCACACACGCACTCGCTGTATGCACAGGCTTGGCGGTATCCGTATGTTGGATGGCCCCGTCTCAGATGTTGTCGAGGTGTGTACTCTTCCAACGCCGATTGCTGCACATATATACGCTCACCGCTGGGTTCCATTGCGGCTCATGAGCCACCTGAGCCCTCACATGCCCTCCACCACGTCACCTCGACTCACACCCCGTCCTCCTCTCACCTGCGCCGTGACGACACGACACGACACGTGTTGCTGCATGTGCCAGTCCAAGTCGCTTGGGTTTGAGCGCGATGTTGTGGATGTGTACAGCTGCTCGTGGGGCCCTGCTGATGACGGCATCGCATTTGAGGGGCCAGGCCCGCTCACCCTCCAGTCAGTCGCAGCGGTGATTGGGAGCGGAATGGAATGGGTTGAAGGAAGGCTGTGAGAGGTGGAAGGATGGTAGGAGCATAAGAAAGATGGAAAGAGCGACCTGCGACCCGCCTCCTTGACAAACACACGTGCTTTATCCTGCTGAATGAAGGTTGATGCATGCACCCACGACGCTCACAACGCGTCACACCACATCACATACACTACATCACACCATCCTTCCCGTCTCCTGCCACGACTTGATGTGTTGCGTTGGTGCAGGGCAATGGAGCACGGCGTTGCCTTTGGCCGAAGCGGACTCGGATCCGTCTACATCTTCGCCGGCGGCAATGGCGGCCCAACGGTGTGTAGTGCATGCGTGTGCATGTGTGTGTGTGTGTGTTCTTGTGTGTGCATGTGTGTTCGTGTGTTCGCGTGTGTTCGCGTGTATTCTTGTGTGTTCTTATGTGTGCATGTGTGTTCGTGTGTGTTCGCGTGTGTTCGTGTGTGTGCATGTGTGTTCGTGTGTGTTCTTGTGTGTTCGTGTGTATTCTTGTGTGTTCTTGTGTGTGCATGTGTTCTTGTGTGTTTGTGTGTGTTAGCTTCGCTGTGTATGCGCACGTACATGCGCGTGTGTGCGAGTCTTGCCTTTCCATTTACACATGTACTTGCAGTCAGTGTTGCGTACTCTGACGCCCCATTCCTTGTTTTGAAGACCACGCACTTGTTCCAAACACTCATTTGCCCCTATGCCCAATCCCCCACGGTCACATCAGGACGACTGCAATGCGGATGGGTACAGCAGCAGCATCCACACGATCGCTGTCAACAGCGTGGATCAGACGGGCTCCGTGCCCCATTATGCAGAGTCGTGCGCCATGGCACTGGTGCGTGTACACACACACACACACACACACACACGCACACACACACACACACACACACACACACACACACACGACACACACACACACACACACACACACACACACGCACACACACACGCACACACACACGCACACACACACACACACACACACACACACACACACGCACACACACACGCACACACACACATACACAAAATGCAGTGAACAACATTGGAACCATATTGCCATGCCCCGTTTCCTGCATTGGGAGCCCAACTGATACTGCTCGTCCTCCCCTTGCCACCAACCATCACTCATTCACCACCACCACCACCACCACTGCATCACCCTCCTCTCTCCAAACCTTGTCTCCCCCTTCCCCCCCCTTTTTCTTCTTCATCCAGACGTCTGCGTTCTCGTCTGGAACGTACACGACGAAGCGAATTGTGACGAGCGACCTCCACCACCAGTGCACCACCACCTTCTCCGGCACCTCCGCGTCCGCCCCGCAAGCTGCCGGCATCATTGCCCTTGCCCTCGACGCAAACCCCTGCCTCTCCTGGCGACACGTGCAGGATATGGTGGTGCGGGCAAGCAGCAAGGACAACCTCAACACGCACGCCGGGTGGCAGGTGAACGGCGCGGGCCTGGACGTCAGCCACCAGTTTGGGTTTGGGCTGCTCAACGCGGACACGCTGGTGACGCTGGCGCAGGCGGAGCGGACCCAATATCCGCACCAGGCGCGCATCGTCACGGACACACACCGCCCAAACCTCGTTGCCGATCACGCACACTCGCAGTTTGATGATATGCTCGTGACCTGTGACGATGGCACCGCGAGCACGGGTGGCGACAACGACGCCGGTGGTGATGATGATGATGATGACAGCAACAACAGCAACAACAACAGTGGTGGTGGTGATGGCGGGCTAACGAGTAGCACACGCAACCGCGGGTGTGTCAAGCGGTTGGAGCACGTGGTTGTGACGGCGCGTTTCCAAACGGCAAAGCGCGGCGCCTTGCAGCTCACGCTGACCAGCCCCTCGGGCACCCGCTCCAAACTGCTGTCCTCCCGTCCATCGGACACAGGCTCCTTGACAATGACGTGGGAGTTTGGGAGCGTTCAGTTCTGGGGCGAAGGCAGCGCCGGGGTGTGGCGGCTGCAGGTGTCGAGTTCCAGCAGCCACGCGTCGCACACGCTGCTGGCCTGGCACATGACCCTTTATGGCACGGGAGGAAACTTAAAGCAGGGCAAGCTCACCACACAGCGAGACACGCTCACCTTGCACAATGGCCGCACGTGCCGTGTGTGCCCAAAGGGCGCCTATCCAGATGGTGTGGGCGGGTGTAGGGAGTGCTCGTCATCATGCAATCACGGCTGTTTTGGGCCTGGCAAAAGGGACTGCCTTTCGCCCCTCTCGTCCTCCACCACCACAAGCAACGAGCAACTACGAACCACCATCAGTACGCCATGTTGTGTTGTGTCTGTCTGTTTGTTTGTTTGTTGGCTTGTTGTGTTGTGTTGCTCGTTTGCTTGCTTGCTCACTTGCTTGTTTGTGTGCATCTTTGCATGTTTTGTTTGAAATGTCCGTTCACACGCTGCCACGTCACCATTCCTCCACCTCCCGCCCTTGCCTCTGCTGTGCAACTGCAGTGTGGGCGGCCATCGGCATTGCCGTTGCTGCGAGCGCCTACCTCGCGTTCTCGTTCGTGTGGACGCGATGCAGGGCACGCGT